TTTTAAACCCTTGCCACACTCTTGCAATATTCTAAACAATGTTTCTAAACGCTCTAAAAGAGCACAGAATGTCATGATTTCCCTCTCTCTACCTCCGCTGCTCTTTGCCACCTGCAAGCGTTCTTGGCCACGCCCACTTCTCTACTCTGCACGGAGAACAGCTGATCAGCTGCAGGATGAAGCTTTTTCTGCAGCTCTGGGCTGCACAGAAATGCAGCAGGTGCTAAATCACTTCAAAACAATTTATTTTAAATAAAAATTACATGCCGATCGTGCGGCTCATCCATCAGTCAGCCAGTTGTGTGTCATGTTCAATCTTATTTTGAAAAACCGTGATAGAACAAGTCCGCGAGAAACAAACCATGAAGAAGTGAGGGACTACTGTATTACAAAGCTGTTGTTGGAATCTCGAGCTATAGCTGCTTAAATAACCTTTTAAAATTTCCAGTTTTATTTATTATTCTTTTATTTTCCTTTTATGGGTCCGATTTTTTTGGTTTGTAATAAGAAAATAAATCTCTGTTTGGTTGAGTTATTTTTTTATTCAACGGTTGTTTTTTCATGTTGTTTTATTCCTTCCAGAAAAGCCTTTCATTGAGATTAAAGAACCATGGACAAAAGTGTGGGAAGTAAATGTGGGGGAAGAAAATGTGGGAGAGCAAACATCGACGCAGATCCCCATCATATACTCAGCCTATCCAGAACCCAGTTTTAAATGGTATGGCTTTGTCAAGACATGGGAAATCCTTACATACGATGCAGTTGACGTTAAAGTGCTCATCTTCTCTTGCTGCCAGGTTGAAAAATGGCCACGAGCTGAAGGACGACTACAGACTAAAGCAGAAAAGTGATGCTCTGGTTATCCGTGGAGTCACCGAGACGGATGCAGGGAACTACACGGTGGTCCTGATCAATAAGATCACCAAGGAGGAACAGAGTCGCTCCTTTCAGCTGCTGGTCAACAGTAAGTTCTGCTTGTTCCTAACGCTTTTATTTAGTGTGGCAAATATTGCTTGTGAAGAATGCTTCTCTGGCAGAAGATGTGCATGCCTACAAGGAATGTTGTGTTTTCATTTTTCAGTGCATCGATATCATCACATTCACCTTATCTTTTTCTTTAATGCTAACAATTCAACTCAGTTTATTCATATAGCGCCAAATCACAACAAAGTTGTCTCAGGGCACTTTACAGGAACATTCACATAAAACCCAATCAGTAAAGTTCTCTATCTAAGGAATCCAGCAGACAAGTTGAATCTTGGCTTCGTTGCAGTCTCCCATCCTGACAGATATGAATTACATGATTGCCCATCATTCATGGCAATAATCAAGCGGTTGCAGTGGCTGTCCACAGTTTATTGATCCACCACCCCGACTGTAGAGATTTTCAAATCATCATCTTGCTTTTGTTCTTTTTCTTCTTGTTCTTCCTCCTCCTCCAGACTCTTCAGGAGTCTCCACAGTGAGTCATCCTCCTCCATCTCACTCTGTCCTCACTCCATCTACCTCCATGTCCTCTCTAACTGCATCCATACTTCTCCTCTTTGTCTTTTCCTGCAGCTGCATTTCTAACATCCTTCCACCAATTTACCCACTGTCCCTCCTCTGGACATGTCCAAACCATCTCAGTCTAACTTTATCTCCCAGTTGTTCAACCTGTGCTGTACCTCTGATGATCTCATTCCTGATCTTCTCCATCCTTGTCAATCCTAAGGAGAACCTCAACATCTTCATTTCTGCCACTTCCAGTTCTGTCTCCTGTCTTTTTGTCCACGTCTCTGTCTCCAGACCATACTACATAGCTGGTCTCACCACTGTCTTGTAAACTTTTCCTGTGACCTTTGCCACCACTCTTTTGTCACAAATAGATCACTATTGAAACTTTTACAGATTTTGTAATCACAATTGTTTTAATTTAATTACAAATCTATGTTACAGAATTGGAAACTTTACCTGACTGTAAAGCACTCAGTTCAACCTTTTCTTTTGTTTTTAAATGCGCTTTAATAAGAAAAAAGATTTTGTCAGGACCTATTGTTTATTTATTTGTCTGCTTCACTCCCACAGTGCCTCCTCGTATTATCGAGAAGGAAGTGGCTGCAGACACAGATGTGTACGAATACGGCAAGAGCCCCACTTTGAGGTGCACGGCCCGTGGGTTCCCCATCCCTGAGCACATCCAGTGGCAGTGGCTGTCCAAGGAAGACTGTCCCGAGGCCTTTACGTAAGCCACCTTTCTCGTGCGAAGCCGTTTCTGCGTGCGTGTGAAGAAGAGTTTGACGGGGGTCACTCACTGTCAACAGGTTGTTGATTTTGAAAACGAGCGGCCACTTTTATGATGTTGATAAACTACGAGATGAGACATTGAGACTCTAACGTGCAGATCAGCGGATGTGATTCATTCTTGTCTATTGTCTATTTTTATACCAGCGTTGAGACACAATCCCAAACTTACAAAACAATCTGGCCGAGTCAGAAAGCAGCTCTCGCCATGAAACGGTGCAGCAGGGACATTTGTGCAGTTACACAACATCCTCAGTGACTCCTGCTGTGATTTCACGAGTACTGATAGAAAGCAGTTGTGTGTGTGTGTGCGTGTGTGTGTGTGTGAAGCCCTTTTAACCAGCAGCAGGTTCCTTATCTTCTGCCTACACATTTGAGTGTTTCCTTAGTTCTGATCCAAATTTCCTGTCGTTCCCACTGCAGTCTCTCTGTGTTTTAAAGGAATGTGTCTTCTTGAGTAAATGTGTTTCCCTCTCATCACGTCACCTTTGTCATCTTCTTTGACAAAGTATTTAAAAGTTTTTCCCACTATCATTTAGAGGAACACCAATTGTGGTGTGTTTCAATTGTAAATAATAATTAGACAGTTAAAAAAAAAATGCAACTATGAAGATTTTGCAGAAAGATTTAAATACATTTTGTACAATAGCATAACTGTTAATGATGCTTATCTCAATTTATGTACAAAAAAAAAGATCAGTTGCAAATACAAAAAGTTTTTTCTTTTGTAATGTTTGATGATGTTTGCTCTTTATCTACCAGGTCAGGATTTCCAAAGTCTGAGATCCAGCTGGATAAATGCTCCGGCTGGAAAAACATAACGAGCAGCAGCGGTCACAACCATGTTGAAATCACCAATCTCGTTGATAGAACTCAAAAGGTAGAAACATTTTTGAATGCATTTGTTTTCATTTGACCCCTGCCTATAATCATTTTTGTGTGAAACAAAATGTGTTCCACTACAGAGCAGAAGTCCAGTGGTTTCGTTTTTAGCCTTTTTTTGAGAGAGGAGTAAAGGAGGCCATCTTTGTGAAAAGAAACCGTCCATCATTAAACAGGGGTGGAGGCCTCCGGGTTCAACTGTCCCCCTCTTACAATGCTGTGATTGCTAGTATCACTCAGCCCTCTGTGAACAGTAAACAGCCATCAGGTGCTAATGATCCATTGTTAGGCTGATGGTCCTTCTTGAGCATGTGATCAGCTGGTTTTGGTTGTCAGCAGCAAACTGGTTGATCCACTCTAAGAAGGTGCTATTTAAGAGACTGAGCTGAAAACAGCACCTCAGACTGAAGAAGTCTCTTGGATGAGAGACGAAACGTTTCTATATATACAAAGTTTGTTTTCTCAGTCATCCAGGTATATAACAACAAAAAAGGTTGAATCATGTCATCTGGACTTCGTTTTTTTTTGTTAAAAAGAAACGTTTCGCCCCTCATCCAAGAGGCTTCGTCAGTCTGAGGCCTAGCCATCTGGTATTACCCAGAAGCCACCCTGACTCTTGTGTTTCAAGCCTGCCTCAGAGAAGCCTCTTGGATGAGGGGCGAAACGTTTCTTTTTAACAAAAAAAA